AAAAAAAAAAAAAAAAAAAAAAAAAAAAGGGAAATAAACACGGAAAATGATGTCTTATGTTTCCTTGGGATAAAATGGGTTTACTCATTTTAATAAGATTGACATTTTGAAATGAAATCATAAATCTTAATATGGCATCAAAATCCATTAAACTTCAAGGAACGGTTCGGTTCGATTTTAAGACTCAAAAAAATGAGTACGTGAATTTTAAAATTGGTACACTCAAACGAGCCACCATCTTACAGGAACACGTTAAGAGATAATATCTCATATCGAATAAAAATGAAAACTTATAATATTGACATTTTAATATGGAACTCAAAGTCTTAATACGAACCCCACAAGAAAATGGTCTCAGTCCGTCCCTGAATTCGAATAAAGATAAAAATATACACCAATATATAATGATTTGGACTACTCTTTTTAATAAGGTTGATCTTCTAAGATTAAACTCTAAATCTTAACAAATATGATGCTAGTCTACAAAAATATTTTCTACACTATAACTCGTACAAATGTGTACTAGTAAAATTCTATGTATGTTAGTTGTCAACCTATTGCAACTCTCTTCTTTTATGTTGTCTTGAGACTATATCATAACAAATAACCAAATTTAGAATTCCTAAGCTGGTGCTGGAAACAACATAAATCTCACATGTTTGTAGCTTTATAATGTGTTTGATGTGAATGCAGCATGTTTGGGTTGTTAGTTTCATTGTCCAATCATTATCAGTTCACTTTTGAAATTTCTAATACTATTTTATATTGGTAAAAAATGAAAAAGAAAATAATGTTTAACAGGAAAATATACTCTGGTATACTGCTATAAATGTTTTCTTCTGCATTTCATATTTCTTAATGCAACAAAATATCATCTTATTATTGAAGCAGAAAAAATTCTAATTTCTTTAAACAATTTTACAACCCTTAGACTCCCATCACGACAGAAAATTCCACAAACTTTAATATGAAATCGAATGCATCCTGTTTGTACGAAGAATCTTGGCTTCCATTGTCTAACTGAGTCCCTGCTTGGTTTTGTTAAAAATTATAGTTTTGGTAAATTTTAACAAAAGTTGATCAAATGTACGATTAAAAATTGATGAAAATTGTGGGTTCAATGAAATTTTTGATTGAAAATGAATTAAAAGATAAACGAGTTTTAAAAAATTGCGGTCAAACAGGGGCTAAATTTGACTTTATTAGTCTAATCCGCACATCTTGCCTTACGCTAAGTTCCGTTTTGGGACATAAGGTTGCAGCAATTCAAGATTTCGTACAACAAAAACCAAAGAAAAATGAAGAAACAATCATTTTACTGTATGAATTCTTCTTGGGGCAAAGATGCTTTTAAAGTAGAAGATGAGAGTCAAACTTTGAATATTGATTCAAACCTAGAAGCTAAATCCTCCAAGGATTTGAAAAGTACTGAAGAAGGGATCCAAGTTTTTCTCCGGAGTCTTATGGAGGTTAGTAAAGAAAAACGCTATATTGGTGTCAGAAAACGGCCATGGGGCAAGTACGCAGCTGAGATAAGGGATTCCACAAGGAATGGAACAAGGGTTTGGCTGGGGACTTTTAACAGTGCACAAGAAGCTGCTATGGCTTATGATCAAGCTGCATTTGTGATGCGCGGAGCTTCAGCTCCCCTAAACTTTCCTTTAGAAAAAATAAAGGAATCCCTTCAAAACATGAATTACACGTGCAAAGGTGGTTCGTCACCAGCTGAAGCCATAAAAGAGATTCACAGGACTCGGAAAGTCAAAGGAAAAAAGAACCAAATTGTGCTTGAGGACTTGGGATCTGATCTATTAGATGAACTATTATCTCAGAGTTGATTTTGAAGTGAACAGGAACATCGTTTTCTGCATCTGTGAATCAATTTCTCTTCTGCTTTCTGGTTTCTTACTTGAACCCTAGATCACTACCTCTTTCTTTTTTCGCTTTTCACCTTCCCTTTTGCTTGAATCATTCATCAATTTCAAATCCATTCAAATTGAAGCTTACTCTCACTTAGTGACTCGGCTCTCCATATTAATTAGTGCTTTGAATCTGAAATAAGAAGACACATGTCAATCTTCAATTTGAATGGATTTTTTTTTTCGATTTTTAATTTTGATCAGTTCCTTGTTCCTGAGAAGACCAGATAAACATCAATTTATTTTTAAATTAAATTGGATACATAATTTTAAGAAGTTTCGGCCTCTTTCTGGGAAACAATTTTACAAAATGAAAATTGTGAATTAAGCTCGCCTTATTAGTCTTCCGCATAATGATTTTGTCATACTTGTTATTAGGAAAAAAAAAAAGAATAAGAAAAATGTCTGAAATAGCAAGGAAACCAGAAATTACTTTAAGAGGAATTAAATCAAATAAATGGAAGTCACAAAGTTGTAGGAAGTTTTTGCACTTTGTTTTATTCAGCTGAGAACCTGTTATACACACACATAGGAAAACAACTACTTCCAAACTTTCAGGAAACATATAACCAAAACTAAAAGATTTTCCTAAAATGAAGCATAAAACGCGACACTACGTAACAAACATTGACTCTCTCAAATGCAAAATGAAAAACATGATTAATTATGACATATTTTAATTTATTTTTACATTAGAGTAACACACTCCCCCTTAATTCAAAAAATCTACAACACCTAATTTATTTCTAAAATAAGCGAACTTTTTCAAAGAAAGTGACTGAATAAATCAACAACTTGCTCATTTGAATTGAAATACTCCAACTTTATACTTCCTCCAGCAACCAGCTCTATTATAAAATGATGTCGAGTGTCTACATGTCTTGTTCGACTATGGTGAACTGGAGTTCTTTGCTATTGCAATGGTCGACTGGTTATCACAAAAGATTGTTGTTGCCTCTTGCTCATGTTTCATATCTTTTAAAATTCTACTTAGTCAGATAACATGGCAGGCTGCTAAAGTAACATTCATGCAGCTGTGGCCTACAATAATGAGCCTGATATTCAAGGGGTGGTTCTTATGAGTACCACCAAAAGAGACCCAAAGGAGTGGGTCCTTGACTCTGGCTGTACCTTTCACATGTGTCAAACTAGGGAATATTTTTCTTAAGTTAGTTGACATGAGTTGTCAAATAAAGGGAATTGAAAAAATTAAAATGTTATTGAATAACTATATTCTTGAACTTAACAACACAAGATATGTGGTTGAGCTTAAAAGAAATCTAATTTCCTTGGGACAATTAGATGACAAGTACACTATCATGATTCATAAAGGTTTGTAGAGACTTAAACAAGACAATAAAAATGTGATCTCCTCTCTAAAAATAAATGGTATATACACTGTCTCTGCTGAACCTATGGTAAGCCATTGTTCTGCAGCTTTAAATTCTGAGTCTAACAAGTCTTTAATTTGGCATAAAAGACTTGGCTACATTTAGAAAAGGGACCGACTACTTTGAATAATTTTGGTTGTTTTAGAAATGACAATATTAAAAAGTAGATTTTTGTGAAAACTGTGTATTTGGAAAAAAGAAAAAGCTACCTTTCAAAACTGGAATCCATAAATCCATCTCTGGATTATTTACACGCTGACCTATGAGGTCCAACATCTGTAAATACCCTAAGTAGATTTAGATTCTATCTACTTATAGCAAATGAGTTTTCAAAAGATATGGACATTTCTTATAAAACAAAAAATGTGATACTTTTAAAACCTTCAAACAATGGAAACTAATGATTGAAAACCAAACAAACAAGAAAATCAAAGTATTAATGACTGATAATGGATTTGAGTTTTGTAATTCAGAATTTGATTCATTTTGTAAAGAATCTGGAATTCTAAAATACAGAACTATAACATACACTCTTCAACAAAATTGTATTGTTGAGAGAATGAATAGATACCTATTGTGAAATGTAAGACATATGTTGTGTACTAGACTTAACTTAGCACATGAAATTAGCATTTTAAGCAGGTTTATGGCTAACCCAGGTGAAACACACTGGCTAGCTATGAAATGGATGTTAAGATACCTTAAAAACTCGTCTGATTTAGGTTTAGAATTTAAAAAAAACAATAAAGGCATAAAATTAAAAGGTTATACTGATTCTGATTTTACTGGTGACTTGGATAAAAGAAGATCCACATCTTCTTATATTTTCACTTTGTGTGTTGACTGCATTAGTTGGAAGTCACAGTTAAAAGAAGATGTACATCTTCATATATTTTCACTTTGTGTGATGGCTGCATTAGCCGGAAGTCAAAATTACAAAAATTAGTTGCCTTGTCCTCAACTGAAGCTAAATATATTGCTGCATGTGATGCTGGAAAAGAAAATATGTGGTTAAGAGGTTTGTTAAATGATTCTGTTAGGATTTATACTGGTAATCAAAGTGCCATTTATTTGAGTAAAAATCCTATTTATCATGATAGAACTAAATACATAGACATTAAGTTTCATTTTGTGAGAAATATGGCAGAAAAATGTTTGATCAGCTTAGTTAAAATTCCTGTAGAATTTAATCCTTCAAATTTGGGGACTAAGGTATTACCTTTAAATAAATTTAGGAATTGCTTGAAGATTCTGAATATCACCTGATGTTGTGATAATTAGAATTTGAAGTATTGTTGATGAAAATAGTTTAACTATTAATTTTTTTACATGTTTTAGAGCGAATGAGGCAATGTATATATAGATGACTAGAAACATTAGGAAGGCCAAGGAATAACTCAGTAAGGTGGAGATTGTTGATGTATTTGGGCTGCCTCACTATTATTTGGTCTCTTGGGCCATCTATGCAATTGGGCTAATTTAAGTGAACATGTGTTTGGCCTCTTTATGGTTGAGGATCTGTCATATATGTGGCTGCATTCTGATCCTTGGATGGTGACTGTTGAGTTAGATAGATAGTGACTTGATCTTGGCACTTGATCTTCTTCCAGATGATTCTGTTTTGAGTCTCTTCTTTTTTCTCCCTTTCTCTGAGTGATAGTTAGGGTTTTCTCCTGTAAAATCTGTAATTAATCTTTGTGGTTTCTTCAACCTCTAATTCTTTGTGATCTTGATTGTTGTGCACGATCATTTAGGGATTGAGGGTTGTGTGATTACATTTATAGAAGAGGCGAGATAAAATTTGAAGAAACCTTTGGTTTCTTCATACATTTTGTACTGATTCTTGATTTGTTGTTAATAGATCTAAAGCTATATCTCATTGTAAATGCTCAAAGGGTGATTAGGTCGCATGACCGAACATCCGGGCCCTTATGGGCGAAAAATCCTTGTGTTTTGATTTTCTTTATTTTTTAAATTTTGTGGTTGCTGTAAACTTCGATCCATAGAATAACTTGGTTTGGGGCCTATCACAAACATTTGAATCACAAAGTTTAGTAGCATAGTATGCAAGAAATAAACTTTCATATTCATCGTTGTCTTCTTGCTCTACAAAATTTGTGTGCTTTTATTCAAATTAAAAAAATTTTCTATGTGGACATACTTGTTACAATAATAACATTGGACCTTACGGTTGTTAGCATCACATTTACTTCCAACTGTATTATGATACTGGTTACGGCCCATTACCCGTGTACCTCTTTTGTAACCTTGTCCACCTCTTTTTTCTCGAAAGGAATAGCCTCCACGACTGGTATTGCTACTACATTCTTGCATTATGTAATTGTCTTTGGACAAGGACAAGTGCAGTTTGGTGTGGAATTCCTTCTCAATAGTACTTTCTTCATAACTTCTTTGTCTACCTTCATGAGATTGAAGAGAACCCAGCAATTAATCAACTGTAAGCATTGCTAGATCTTTAGATTCTTCTATGGTAGACACCGCAAGCTCATATTTTCTTGGTATGTTCCTCAAAGTTTTCTCAACAACCTTTTGATCAGATAGTTGTTCACCATATTTCCTAATTTTATTCACTACTTCTATCAAATTGTTAAACTAGTCATCCATAGAATCTACATCTTTAATAAATTAAGGAACTCTCAAATTTCCTACGAAATGTTTGAAGTTTTACAGTAACCACTTTAGCGGTTCCTTGGTGGCCATTATTGAGTTCATCACAGACTTCTTTTGAATTTGTTACCCTTGAAATTCGAAGGAAGATTGCCTTATCTACTTCTTGTTGAATGAAAAAGAGAGCTTTGGCATCTCTCTTTCAAACATCTTTTAAAGATTCAGCTGACACTCGTTCAACATAACCTCTCTCTATTAATTGCCATAAATCTTGGAAGATGAACAAAGTCTTCATCTTTGTACTCTAGAAATCATATTTACTAGCTTTAAAAAATGGAATTGTAGGCAAGGTAGGATTAATCTCAACATTGTTTGCCATTAAATAGTAACTTGGACATTCTTGATCTGGAGACCAAGCTTTGAGATGTTAAAAAAAATCCAGTCTGAAATAGCAAGAAAACCAGAAATTAATCTAAGAGTTCGTTTGATTGCAAGGGTGGAAAATGACTGGAAAGAAAATGAATTCCACAGAAAGTAATTGTCTAGAACTTGTTTTCTAGAGAATTGTTAATTAAGTGTGTTTGATTTATATAATTTATTGAAAAAATAAACTGAATTCATGAGAATCCTAGAAATTTCTATTCATGAATATGGAACGAAATATGTTAATGCTGGAAAAATAAACTAAATTCATGAAAATCCTAGAAGTTTCTATTCATGAATACGGGGCAATACATGAATGTGGCTTTTGATTTTATGCATGAACTTAGATAGGTAAATGTATGAAATTTCAGTTTAGCACCTATAAATACCATATGTATTGTAGCCATTTGATGGAAGTGGAGTTCAAGTGATAATAAGAATTCTTATGAGTTTCCTTCATTTTTCACTTGGGTATGT